AGAGAGAAAGAGAGAGGTGGGGTAGGGAAGGCGGGGGAAATAAGACGAGGATCGAAACAAAAGCTTATTCATTTATTAATTTTAAGCCCAACATAATATAAAGGTTTCGAAATCTAAAACAAAAATACACTTATTGGTGAGATTAATGACACCTGGGCAAAACTGACAATATGTTCTCTTTATGGTCTAATACTTTAATCTTGGGGTTTACTTGTTTTCGTCCAGATGAATCCTTCCTAAACAGAAAAGGCATTTTTAGGCTCCGAACGAACAATTGCAGGAATTTAAAAAAAAATCGACCTTTAAGTCTAGCGGGTGGACTCTAAAGAGACTGAAATAGCGTAAACAGAGGCGGAAGGCATGGAAATTATATCAACAAAAGCTGTAGCTTTAAGGGGCTCAATTTTATAATATTATTACAAGGACAAGACAGATGAAGGAATGTACTAAGAACACTTCACCACACTTTGAACTTTGACCTTACATAAAAGAATTGGAAGCCCAAAAGAGGTTAAGGTGGAAAAAGAAGAAAAGAGGGTTGGTAACCGCAAGCTGAATACACAGCACCGTGTTTTTCACCCATTTTTTGTTTCTCTTTATTTGTCAGAATTGTTTGCTTTAAAAAAAAAAAATAGAAGTAATGTGCAGATCCTTCTAGACAGAGTTTTATAAAAACAAAATTGTGTGCATTACAGAAAAAAAATGATTACATTAAAGAGATGGAAGAGCTTTGTGAGTAGAAGCTCTACACCTCGAGGAGTGAGGGGGCCGGGCACTATGCAAGAACCTTTTACAATTGATTTTTAGGAGTCCGAGCTATTACGCTATATTTCAAATACAATTTGTCCGTTTTTCATTTTTAACGTTATATATAATATAGGCCTAAAGGATTCACGTGCTTCAACTTGAGAATAGGACCAAATGCCCTTACATTTTGAATGAGTCACTTGTAAAAAATTAATATAAAAAGAATATATATAAAGCATAGCTGCAGCAACAACACAAAACCATAAAACATTGTGTCGGACTCTAACAACTTGACAAGATCATGCGTTTGGGGGGGGGGGTGAAAGGAACAAAGAGAAATCTTCCTTGCTTATCAATTTCATGTCCTTGCTTGGAGAAAAACCTCTAGCATTTGTAATCTAGTTCCTTCACACAGAGCCATTCTTTAGGGGGGACGTGTATTCATACGCCATCGATTGCTTGCGATGCTTGCGATTGGCTAAGAGTAGCCACATAGGCCTACAGTTTCCTCGCGTGAACTTTTGGCGCCCGCTAGACGCACAGGAGAGAGAGAGAGAGAGAGAGAGAGAGAGAGAGAGAGAGAGAAATAGGGATACAGCGACACAGAGAGAGAGAGAGAGAGAGAGAGAGAGAGAGAGAGAGAGAGAGAGAGAGAGAGAGAGAGAGAGAGAGAGAGAGAGATGTTTGTCGTCAAAACCTTGGGACAAGGGAGCGATGTCCCCCGGCAGCAAAAGCGACGATTAATTGTTGCGATAGGATTACTCTTTCTGTGTCTGTGTGCGTGAGGTCGGTGCTCCTCTGGCAATCTTGACCGTCTTTATGGAGAATATACAATATATGAGCAGCTATGGAACTTCTGGGCTGATACTTTTGTGATGGGATTCTATTGCAGAGGTAATAAGGATAACTCTCGGTGAATAGTATCTTGAACAATTTATGAACATAAAAAAATAATGTTTGTAAAGTTTACACGGGTGTACACCACGGGCACAGTGACTGTAAGTATTAGAGAAACGTGTACTCTACGAGAATAAAATATGCCTACTTCCTTCGTCCTGCCTAAAAGTAAGTTTGCCAACAATATTGTACACTTTCCCGCTTTAAACATTAAGCTTTACATGGATTTTTTTCTTCTGTAAAACGGACATTCGTACTTAAAATACCCACATGTGTGTGAGTGTGTGTGTGTGTGTGTGTGTGTGTGTGTGTGTGTGTGTGTGTGTGTGTGTGTGTGTGTTTCTGTGTGTGACTTTGTAAGTGAGTGCTTTTATCGTCGATTTCCGTTTGTAAAGTTAAAAAAAAGTTATTCTCGCATCTGATCCGGACATTGGGGATTGCCTTGTTAGTGAAAAAAGTTCCTGGGCCTTCGGCATATTGTGGTAGGGCGGCCAGTTTATTTCCACACCGCCTTTACTTCCCCAACTCGAAGTCAAGTACCCAATACTGCTGGGTGGGCAGGAGGGGTCGAAAAATATCCGTGTCTGAACCGAGGGTCAAACCCGGACTTTCGCTTCGGAGACAAGGCCACTAACTCCTCCGCCACCTCACCCTCCTTGTTAAACATTTGTGAATTGTGGTAGTTTCCGCTCCGAAGGACTTCGCATACGAAGTAAGTTGTTTTCCTTTGCGGTGAAAATTACATTTCATGTATACCTCGTATACTTTTCTTCATGCCTCCTCCTTAACTTCTTGTAGTCATGCTATTGCAGCTATGTAAACGATGACCTCACAACACGTCGTTATCCTTCAT